GAGAGAGAGAGAGAGAGAGAGAGAGAGAGAGAGAGAGAGAGAGATACAGTAGATTTTATTTTGGCATCTTCAAACAGAGTTTATTTCCATTATTCCTCCTGATTTCTCCTGTCCCCTTGTACTCTTTAATCTTCTTTCTTTTATTTACTTACTTAATTTTACATCATGATCACAGTTTCCCCTCCCTCCTCCATCCTCATTCCCTCCCTCCTTCTCTCCTCCCTGAAATCCCTTCCAAACTCCAATCCACTCCTCCTCTGTTTCTGTTCAGAAAGGGGCATGCCTCCCATGAGTATCAACAAAGCATGACATATCAAATTGCCGTGAGACCAAACACCTCCCCTGTATTATGGCTGGGAAAGGCAATCCAGAATGAGGAATAGGTTCCCAAGAGGTAGCCAAAACTTTAGGGAAAGCCCCTGCTCCCATTGTTAGGTGTTCCATAAGTAAACCAAGCTACAGAAGTGTCACAGATATGTAGAAGGTCTAGGTGGGTCCTATGCAGGCTCCCTGTTTGCTGGTTTAGACTCTGTTAGTTCCTAGGAGCCAGATTAGTTATTTCTTTTCTAGTTATTTCTTTTCTTTTCTTTTCTTTTCTTTCTTTTTTTTTTGGTTTTTCGAGACAGGGTTTCTCTGTGTTCTCTCTTTGGAGCCTATCCTGGCACTTGCTCTGGAGACCAGGCTGGCCTCAAACTCACAGAGATCCGCCTGCCTCTGCCTCCCAAGTGCTGGGATTAAAGGCGTGTGCCACCAATGCCCAGCCAGATTAGTTATTTCTATGGGTTTTCTTATGATGTCCTTGACCCCTATGGCTCTACAATCCTTACTCCCCTTCCTCAGCAGGACTCACTGAGCCATGTTTGGCTATGGGTCTCTGCATCTGTTTCCATCATTTACTGGATGAAGGCTCTCTGATGACAATTAGAGTAGTCACCAATCTGATCACATGAGATAGTTCAGGCTATGTATCCACTATGGCTAGGAGTCTTATCTGGGGTCATCCTTGCAGATTCCTGGGAGTTTCCCTTGCAACAGGTTTCTATCTGACCCCCAAATTCCTCCCCCACTTTCCAGTCTTGTCTTTCAGTACACCTCCACTCTATCCACCCCCTAACCCAACTCTTCAAGTTCTCATCCCCACCTGCCCCCAATGTACCTAGTAGATCCCTTTCTCATGGAGATCCATGTATTCCCTCCTTGGGGAACTGTTTTTTAAGTATACAGAGGACTCTGTTGAGATTATAGCATTCAGCCAGAGAGGAAAGAACCTGAACTGAGGAAATTGTAAGGCTTCTAAGTCACAAAGGGCCATTTGATGCTATGGCAATGACCAAGGGTAATGTGACAAGAAGACAGCAGAAGTAAGATCAGGGTCTAAACAGATGGTCAAAAGCAGCTTTAGACTCAGAGCAAGTTCATGTACTAAGGATTCTCTCATCTAATTAATTCAAACATATTTCACTAGTTTTTTTTTTTTTGAGGTTTCTGGTCCTTGTATGTGTTTGTCTAGAGATATGGATCTATGTTCTAGCCCTGTGCTCCAGCTCTGCTGTAGTCTCTCCCCTCCTGGAAAGGCTATTTCAACTGCCAATTGTAATGCTGACTCTACTCTTGTTTCAAGCTCCTGTTCTGTCTTCACTTGACAGATTCCTGGAAGATGAACTGGGCTTCTTGAGTTACTGCCCAGGTCCTGTCACAGCACACAGAGACAGCTTCCAGTTATTATATTCTGAAAGGCTGTTTGCGTGATTGCCAGCTGTGATCTAGGCATTGCCACCTCACACCTTTGCAACCCAATAGGTGCACCCTACAGTGGCTTGACATCCCTTGCACGACATTTTGTGTAAATGATGTTTCCAGGATAGGGAAGTAAAGCTAAGAGTACTAGATTCAAAGTTTTCTGAATATGCCCACAGACTCCCTTCCTGGGAAAGTAAGTGTAACTTTTAATTTTTAGTGTGAAAACACCACTGAGAATTATTATATGATCTCAGTAAGGTTGTTTCTCAGGAGCTCTAGGTTTATATGTGGTGATAAGTTATCTCACCCTCTTTAAAAAGAAGTTAAGTTTTTATTCACTTGTACTATCTACTAAACCTGCCCAAAGGCCAGATGTGGCATTAGCCATATCACATTTCTTAGGATTATAATTTGAAAGTAGAATTTGAAATATAAATGCATATAAGCATTTTATAATAGTAACACGCAGGGAATGCCCTATAAATCTATTATTTTATAAACATTTATTTTCATTTGATTTGTATATGCATGCCATGCCTGTGCAATGTGCACAGAGGACAGATGAGGGTGCTGGATCCCTTGAGGTTTCAATTATAAGCAGTTGTGAGCCACCTGGGTGCTGGAAACTGAAACAAGGTCTTCAGGAATACTGTATACTTTCTTAAATGCCATCTTTTTACCTCTAGTAAATATATTCCTGTTAGAATAAAAGTGGATATGAGGTCCTTCTCCATGGGTCTAAGTCTGGTTATTTTTCTTTCTCTATACCTGTGTCATCTTTCTTGGATTGTCTTAATGAAAACCCTCTGAGTGGCCATTAGCTGAGTGTGGAAGGTTATTTAAGTGGCTGGTTGATGTATGTATTATCTCTTTCAAGCTAATTCTGGAACTTGAACTCTTAATTAGTGCTCACATTCTCTATGAATGCATGACATCAAGCACTCAGAGAATACTGATTATTTGTGGGTGCCTGTCTTATCTTGCCAGTGACACTGTAAACTCAGTGATGACTCTCAACCATTCTCTCATGAATTCATTCAGTAAATATTTATCAAGAATGTATCCATGTTCCTCCTAAGGATGGCCTTCTGGTTGAATGTAGCTTTACACACAAACATTTACTCAATTCTCCATAGCTAGTTATTTAAATATCTAAACCACTTATTAAGATGCAAATTTTGTAAGGGAGGACTTGGCTTTTTCCATGCCTGTCCCCAGGACACCAACAATACCGAGAAGAGTAACCATTGCACTATTTGTATGTGACCATGGGCACATTTTTCCTCTGAGAACTTGATGATGGTGGGACTGTGCTTTGCACCTACATATTACCTGATCACAATCCTTTGGGATAGACCTTTGATTTATTAAAAAAAACCACACACACACACACACACACACACACACACACACACACACACGTAGCTGAAGTCATTTGGAAAAGATTGAGGTCCTACTGAATGAATTAGGACAACTGAGACCATTTGCAGGCCCAGCTTCCTCCAGGAAAATATCAACATGATCGTCAGTATTAGCACCAGTGTCAACAAAATCACCAGGTGCATGGATTTGTCTCAAAACACAACAGATAAGACTGAACCCTGATGGTTTTCCAGCCTCTGCTCAAGGCATTTGGGATGTGTCAGTAGCCAAAACTGTAATGTTCCTCCTGTCATCTGATAAAGTTTGCAATCTTGGTCAGGAAAAGAAAAGCCAATAACCCTAGTGCAGAGGCAAGTGACAAGGGGACAGTGGATTCCAGGGAAGCAAATGTAAGGATTATTTCAAAGTAGAAAACAGAGCTCATCAGGTAGGTGATACCCTGAAAGTGAGGAGTAGCCCTATCAGAGGATGAGGAATGGTTTAGCGAGTTAGAATACATCTGAGTCTAGAGAGGAGTAAGACATGGGGAAGGCAGCCATACTGTATGGCTTGTAATTCAACTCTTAAGTAGTACTTGAATAAAGTCAAAGAAAAGGTTATTACTCAGAAAAAAATTAGAAGGCATTTTCAATAAAATGATATTAATGTGTTTGGAGATTCTTATCTTACCGTTTTTACTGATGTCGAGTTCTTTCAGATTAACTAGGCTGGCAATAGAGGTCGGCAGACTTGAGAGGTCATTGTCAGGAATGCTTAATTTCCGCAGAGCTTGACAGTTGAATAATTGCTGTAACAGAAAAGAATAACTCACTAGTTAGGCCACAGTTTGATTAGACCCACTCATGCCTAAACTCAGTAGCAAACTGTAAGTTACCATTTTTATTTTTATTTATTTTATCAATGTGACAGCAAAAGAACCATTAATAAAGCCTCACTTTCTTGCACACCCAGACTGGAACAGCTTCATAATCCATCCATCTGTTAGTGCCATACAGACATAAACAAAACAGAGCAAAATGAAAACGAGGCAGGCAGAAGCCTTCAGGAGTTGCAGTCTGTGTTCTCACAGCTAAAAGGGAATCACCTCAGCCCTCTTTATTTTGCTGTTGTATTAGATTTCAGAAGTCTCACTCCCACTTCTTCTTTCTGAATAAATACTTACATGTAACATGAATAATTTGTGTTCAAGTTGAAGATCAAGAAAGCAAAGCATCCAGCACTAGAAAGTTCTCACTTCTTTCAATACTCAGACTGAAGGGGCAATCCACTGAACCGCAGACTGCTCCCAACTGCACTGCTGATCAGACTTAGGAGTTCTTGTCTCCTCCTGCCTTATATTCCTCTCTCCTTCCAACCATATCACCCCTGTCTCCAACTCCCTAATGCTGGAATTAAAGGTGTGAACTCTGTTTATCTTTTAGACTGATTCACTCTCGTTTAGCCCAGGGTGGCCTTGAACTCACAGAGATCCATTTACCTCTGTCTCTTGAGTTCTGGGATTAAAGGTATGTGCCACCACTGTCTGACCTTTATGACTGTGGCTAGCTTTGCATGCTGATCTCCAGACAAGCTTTATTAAATCATAAACAATATATCACTACACTTATATATTATTAGAATACCTAAACTCACATTCTTCTGTGACCCCTTGCAGTGACTCATAAATCACTAATAGATGAAACATGGGACAAAAATTCAATCAGGCTCAAAGTAGTAGGTGGGGGAGAACCAAGTGCTACAATTGGTTCTGGACCAAAGCATGGTCTCAGCCACTGGTGGGTTGAGGTGTGTTTCAGAAGTGGTTTCTTGATTCACTTGGGAAGTCTAGCAATGGGTAAGGCAAACTGCATTTTCAGCAAGACATAAATTTGGGTGATTTGATATCAGTGTTTCCAATACCACACTATGAAAAACAACACCTTTATTTATTTATTTATTTATTTTTATTTAAATTAGAAACAAGTTTCTTTTACATGTCAATCTCAGTTCCTTTTCCCTCCCCTCCTCACCTGTCCCCCACTGACTCCCTATCCCAACCCCTGTCTGTGCCCCAGGGAGGGTGAGGCCTTCCATGGGGGATCTTCAAAGTCTGTCATAGCATTTGGAGCAGGGCCTAGACCCTCCCTAGTATATCTAGGTTGAGAGAGTATACCTCTATATGGAGAGGACTCCCAAAGTACATTTGTGTACTAGGAGTAAATACTGATCCACTACCAGTGGCCCCATAGATTGTCCAGACCTCCAAAGGATCTGGAACAGTCCTATTCTAGTTTCCTATCTATCAGTCTGGGGTTCATGAGCAACCCCTTGTTCATGTCAGCTGTTTCTGTGGGTTTCTCCAGTCTGGTTATGACCCCTTTGCTCATCACTCCTCCCTCTCTGCAACTGGATACCAGAGTTCAGCTCAGTGTTTAGCTATGGGTGTCTTTGTCTCTGCTTCCATCAGCTACTGGATGAAGGCACTAGAATGGCATATAATGTAGTCATCAGTCTCATTATCAGAGAAGGGCATTTAAGGTAGCTTCTTGACTATTGCTTAGATTGTCAGTTGGTGTCATCCTTGGAGACTTTTGGACATTTCCCTAGTGCCAGATTTCTCTTTTAACCTATAATGGCTCCCTCTATGATGGTATCTCTTTTCTTGCCCTCCTCTATTCTTCCCCTGACTAGATCTTCCTGTTCCCTCATGTCCTCCTCTCCCCATCCCCTTCCCCAGGGGACCATGTATGTCTCTCTTAGGGTCCTCCTTGTTTCCAAGCTTCTCTGGCAGTGTGGATTGTAGGCTGCTACTTCTTTGATGTAGATCAAAAATCCACACACTTACAAATACCTGATTTTTGACAAAGAATCTAAAATTATACAATGGAAAAAAGAAAGCATCTTCGACAAATGATGCTGGTATACCTGGATGACTACAGATAGATCCATATCTATCACCATGCACAAAACTTAAGTACACATGGATCAAAGACCTCAACATAAATCCAGCCACACTGAACCTGTTAGAAGAGAAAGTGGGTGGTACTCTTGAACAAATTGGTACAGGAGACCACTTCCGGAACATGACACTAGTAGCACAGACACTGAGATCGACAATTAATAAACAGGACCTCCTGAAACTGAAAAGCTTCTGTAACACAAAGGACACAGTCACCAAGATAAAACAGCAGCCCACAGAATGGGAAAAGATACTCACCAACCCCATATCTGACAGAGGGTTGATTTCCAAAATATACAAAGAATTTAAGAAGTTAGTCTCCAAAACACCAACTAATCCAATTAAAAATTGGGTATGGAACTAAATAGAGAATTCTCAATAGAGGAATCTAAAATGGCTGAAAGACACATAAGAAAGTGTTCAACAATGTCCTTAGCCATCAGGGAAATGCAAATCAAAACAACTCTGAGATACCATCTTTCTCCTGTCAGAATGGTTAAAATCAAAAACACTAATGACAGTTTATGCTGGAGAGGATGTGGAGAAAGGGGATCATTCCTTCACTGCTGGTGGGAGTGCCAACTAGTACAGCCACTTTGGAAATCAGTATGAGGTTCCTCAGGAAAATGGGCATCAGTCTACCACAAGATCCAGCAATTCCACTTTTAGGCATATACCCAAAAGATGTGCATTCCTGCAACAAGGACATCTGTTCAACCATGTTCATAGCAGCATTATTTGTAATAGCCAGAACCTGGAAGCAACCTAGATGCCCCTCAACTGAAGAATAGATGAAGAAAATGTGGTACATTTACACAATGGAGGACTACTCAGCAGGAAAAAAAAAAAAAGCAATGGAATCTTGAAATTCGCAGGAAAATGGATGGAACTAGAAGAAACCATCCCGAGAAAGGTAACCCAGTCGCAAAAAGACAAAAGTGGTATGTACTCACTCATATATGGATTTTTACATCAAGAATACTTTTATTTTTTTTAAGCCCTGTTCAGCTCATCTACTACTAAAAAACATGAACAGTTGGAAGAGGATTTTTTATTTATTTCTAGAAGAATTATCTTAATGAGATCTTTCCTGACATTTCTGACTCTGTTTTGCAGAACTTCCACAGATGAAGTCTGGTAATCATGACTATGCAGTTGGCCAATGGTATATTTAACTACCATTTCTTCCTACACATAATTCCTTATTTATAGGAAAAAACAATGTAGCATACCGTTGTTATTTCTTAACTCATTAGCTTTTTAAAAAGGAGATCATACAACTTCTTATATAAGAGGAAATGTGCAGTCTCTTACTTTGGGTTAGTCATCTTGAGTTCTTTATAAAGATTATTTGCTACTTGTCATGATGTCAGAATTACATTTTTCATCCTGTATAGAAGTGGACTTCTTTTTACAAAACTTTGAAAGAGATGCTTAATGGGTTCTTTGTAAAGCATTTCACCTAACCAAATAGAAAACACATGGCTACAGTCCTGGAAGTTACTAGTAACTCGATTCCAGACTGTGCTATCTAGTAAGACAGCAATGTGCTGTACGAACATGCAAAGTGGTTATTTACAGCTTCACAGTCAATTATCTCATCATTGGTTTGGGTAAGACTTACTAAGCACTCTTTCTGCTGATCACTACAACCATTTTGATGAACATTAAAACTAAAAGTTTTTAAAATATAGTCTTTTGAGTCTTATTATAACAACTAACTTCTCAAGTGCATTCAAGATTTAGTAAAAGTTCTAGTATGCTTCAATTTTGAGTGAACTGACACCAATTTTTTTTAAAAAGGAAGCCACTCCCTTTACATGCTCTACATGTAAGCAAGAACAGGCACTTGACACTAGATCAGTGTCTGGTCAAGCCTGAGTCTTATTGCAGTGTTACCACTGAACTCAGCAGTTCTTTTGCTTGTAGAGTAGAAATGCTAAACCATACAACTTGAGCCTTGAGAGAGTGAAAGATGTTAATACAGGCTATCAACTCTAAGCCTCACAGTTTTCTTCTACTAATGGTTTTGATGTTTGGAATGTACCATACAATCAAAGGTAAGTTATTTTTGAGGGCTGTCCTTTTTCCAGATATCCTTACACTAATGATTTAATCTCATAACACGGGTCTTAGATTTGGTGAATGAAGTCCTTGTGTCCAGGTAAGTCAGGTGACTGTTAGAAATTAAAAATACATCAATGTACAGTATGATGGTCTGTTTGTTTTCTTTTCTAAACAAAACAGTCTCTCTGGAGGCAGAGTTCTGCTCAGCTTGCCTGCAAATCTCATATTTCTCCTTTCCATTTACCACAGGACACTTTCTTGACCACAGTTTGTGCCGAGCCAATAATTTTGAGAGTGCTGATAATTAAAGGGAAAACGAGAAGCCTGCCAAACTCCTGCTGAGACAGGCAGTTTTTGACAGGAAGTTTTGGAGGGGTAAACAGTTTCAGGGAGTCTGTGTTTCCTAGATCAAGTTTCTTACCTGAGTGAACTTCTTCCCATGAGTCCTGTCCTCTACAAAGCTAAAAACCCTAACACAGCTTTCTCAAGATTCAGACTTTAAGTGAAAATGAGGTTGGATCATTATAAAACAGTCGTGTATTCTTCAGTATAGGGGAAATAAAAATAATAGCTACTTAGAATCAAACTGTTAATTATATGGCTCACATTTTAAAAACAATAGAAATGTTCTGGATCTGAAAATGCATTTGTGTTAGAGTGCTATTTCTCTTTAGCCAGGGAAACAACTTAACTTTGAAGAAATTTTTGGGGGTCTCTGCAAACTCCATGGCTAGCAGAGTGTCGATCTGTGTGAGGCAGGAAGGAAGTCTAGTTCAACACAA